ACAATATCGTAATTTTAATGATTTATGCATTAATTCTATTTCTGTCTAACGGTGATGTAGAATTAGTGTGGAAGAACAGTTGTAAATTTTAATGATTTATGCATTAATTCTATTTCTGCCCAACGGTGATGTAGAATTAGTGTGTAAGAAAGTTGGGAAAGTTAATGTTTTATGCATTAATTCTATTTCTGTCCAACGGTGATGTAGAATTAGTGTATAAGAATAATTGTATGTTTTGATTTTGACCAACGTTGGAATCAAGGCATGCAAATGGTGTTATTTATATGTTAAGAAAAGGTTTGACCTGGTTTTCATCTTGGCTAAGATGGACTGGGTAGTCACCTCACCATGTCCCACTGATTCTGTGGCACCGGTGAGGGAGACAAAAGAGAATGATGCCGATTAGGCAACTAAAGAAAGGGATTTTGAATCCCAAAAGATATCCTATGACTTTGAGCATAGGAAGTGGGTCACTGCCAACATGAAATGTTTGGCTGTGATAAAGAACACGATTGAGCCTGCAATTGTCGGCTCAATCCCAGAGTGTGACACGGTCACCGAATACCTCGATAGAATAAAGAGTTAGTTCACTGGCTCTTCAAAGACATATGCTACCTAGCTGATAAAGCAGCTGGTGACAGAGTCACTCTGGAAATGGTGGCATAAGAGAGCTCACGATGCGTTGTAGAAATTATGGCACTGTCGTTTATGCCATATTTCGAGGGGGGAATAGAAAGACAAGTTAAGAATGATATTCTTCCTCCATTAGAGCTCTCAGATTTAAAACAATGCAGAGAATGTATAAAAGGAAAGTATATAAAGAAAAGTAAGAAAGATGACAAACGAAGCGCAGGAATTTTATAGATTATTCACACAGACATCTGTGGTCATTTTCCAATAAAGCGTGTGGATGGTTATGATTCGTTTATAACATTCACAGATGATTACTCCTGTTATGTCTACATTTATCCAATCAAAGAAAGAACAGAAGCATTGGATAAATGTAGATATTTAAGGCAAAAGTTAAAATCCAGCGCAATTTAAAGATAAAGATAGTCAGGTCTGACCGTGGGGGAGTACTACGGTCGGCATACCCCATATGGCCAAGTTCTTGGACCTTATGCAGGGTTCTTATAGGAGAATGGCAAAGTAGCCCAGTATTCTATACCGGGCGAACCTCAGCAGAATGGAGTAGCTGAAAGACGTAATCGTACAATGAATGGATATGGTGCGCAGTATGATAAGTTACTCCACCTTACAGTTGAGCCTGTGAATGGAGGCGTTAAAACTGCCATTCATATTCTCAATAGAGTATCACGAAAGTCGGTGCCCAAAACACCGTATGAGTTGTGGACAGGAAGAGTACCCTCACTAAACACTTATGTGTGTGGGGGAGCACTGCTGAGGCTAAAGTATTTAACCCAAACATTGGGAAGCTAGATCCCAAAATAGAGAGTTGCCATTTCATTGGCTGCCTAGAAAAGTCAAAAGGTTTTTGTTTCTACTGTCCAGAGAGACATACAAAGTTTGTGGAAATGAGACACGCTGTCTTCCTAGAGGATGAACTGATGAGGGGGAGCATGGTAGCTCGAGAAATTAACCTTAAAGAGAAGCGGATGTATGCGCCCACTCCAATGATTCATGGGCCAATTTTCTCACTACCTGCTGTCGCTGCACCGATAGTGTGAGATACTATGGTGTCAGCACATGTTGTTATTCCGCCTGTGGCAACAATGAATGACCATGAGAAACCTGTTCTTCAGGATCCTATAGAACCTATTGCCACACATGAGGGGGAGCAACAACAGCCTCAAATAGAAGATGTGCCAAATGTGGAGGCCCCTAGAAGGTCTTAGAAAGTTAGAAAATTAGTTATTCCTGCTGATTATGAAGTGTACAACACTGAGGAATTTCAAATGGAGGATGATCCCACCTAATTTGAAGAAGCCATGAGAAGTTATCATTCATCAAAGTGGCTTGAGGCCATGGAAGATGAAATGAAATCAATGAATGTCAATAAAGTTTAGGACTTAGAAATAATTCCTAAAGGAGCCAAAGCAGTAGGTTGTAAATGGGTCTACAAAACAAAACTTGACTCTCAAGGGAACATAGAGAGATATAAAGCATGACTTGTGGCAAAAAGCTTTATGCAAAGAGAAGGGATTCATTACAATGAGACCTTTTCTCCAGTCTCATGTAAAATTTCCTTCAGAATCATAATGGCATTAGTGGCACATTACGATTTAGAATTACATCAGATGGATGTAAAGACGGCATTCCTCAACGGGGACTTGGAGAAAAATGTTTACATGGCACAACCGAAAGGTTTTGTCATGGAAGGAAAAGAACGAATGGGATGCCGCCTAAAGAAATCCATTTATGGATTAAAACAAGCTTCAAGACAGTGGTACTTGAAGTTTGATCAGCAAATAAATAATTTTGGGTTTAAAGAGAATGTAGAGGACAATTGTGTCTATACAAAGTTTAAGAATGGAAAGTTTATCTTCCTTGTCCTGTATGTGGATGATATCTTACTTGCTAGTAATGATGTCAGTCTACTACAGGAGACAAAAGAAGTTTTGTCCTCAAAACTTGATATGAAAGATCTTGGTGAAGTCTCGTTCGTTCTAGGGATCGAGATTCACCAAGATAGAAGAAAAGGGATATTAGGACTGTCACAAAAGGCATACATAGAAAGAATCTTAAAGAAATTTAGTATGCACAAATGTAGTCCCTCACCTGCTCCTATAGTCAAGGGCGACAGATATGGGGATTTTCAATGCCCTAGGAACCAATATGAGCTCAATCAAATGAAAGTGGTTCCATATGCTTCAGCTGTCGGAAGCTTGCAACATGCTCAAGTATGTATGCGCCCTGACTTGGCATTTGTTACCGGGTTTTACTTGGCAGATTCCAGAGCAATTCTGGAATAGAACACTGAAATTGATAAAGAAAGTCTTGCGTTATTTGCAAGGAACGAAAGGCCTCATGATGACATATAGAAGATCTTATTCACTCCACATAGTGGGATATTCATATTCTGATTATGCGAGAGATGATAGAAAATTAAGAAAGGATATGAATTCACTCTCGCAAAAGGGGAGCTATTTCATGGAAAAGCTCAAAGCAAACCGTCACTGTATCGTCCACAATGTATGACAGTTTGTAGCGTGTTATGAGGCAACGGGCAGGTGAACTGACTAAAGAAGTTCATACCCGGTTTGAAGGTGGTTGATGACATCTATAGACCACTTAAGTTATACTACGATGATAATTCGGCAGTACAGTATGCTCACAACATAAGTCAAGTGGTGCTGCCAAACACATTGACATAGAGTATTATGTTGTGAAAGATAAAGTTCGGGATCAAGTCATAAGTCTTGAGCATATAAGTACAGAAAAGATGTTCACAGATCCGCTTACAAAAGGCTTACCACCCAACGTGTTCAGAGAACATGGTGTTCAGAGAACATGTAGCTAGCATGGGTTTAAGGGAAAGCCTAAAATTCCTGGACAAAAGAAGGCCCAAAGATAAGTATCTATTTCAGAACAAAGTAGTGTGTTGTAGCTATTAAATCTATCGGCAATGGACCGTGATGATGAGACATGCTCTATGCGCTAATCTGTAATGGAGTGAACAAAAGCAAATGATATGAAATTGAAAGATGATAGTGAGATCAAGGGAGAGAATGTTAGTTGATCTCCACCAATAGGCCGGGCCTATTGGGCCCTTGTCTTTGCTCCCTGATCGAGGGAGCCCAACCCTAATATGGTTGGTGGGCCCCTGTCGCACAGCACATATAAAAGGTAAGGTGGGGATCAGGGCTCGGGCTACGAGGTTCAACGGAGCCACCGCCATCCCACCCACAGTAAACCTAAACCGATCAAAGTAGTGCTACCAGCGACGGGAAGCCCATCAACCTCACCGTCGCCACTGCAGCGCCACTGGACTTCATCTTCATCGCGCAGGACGCCTACTACACCGCGGCACTGGCGTCCATGTCGCTGCGGTGAAGCTCCAAAGGGCAAAGGAGCCTTACTACGGATCTACGTTTACACAGAAAGGTACACCCAAGATACTAACATCGAGCTCACCTGCGACAACACAACTGGTTCCCCCAGGCTCATCTTCCAGCTAGGAAACAACTCAACTCAGGTGACTTCTATAGATGTCGGCAGCAATTATGTTTGGGCTTCTGCTGTTGGGTACAACATCACCATGGGCTTAGGTGTGGACACCTACATGATCACCAAGTCCTGGAAGGTCCCTCACGAGGGTGTCATTCTCACGTGAAAACCAATTGTATGTTGTTGGTCGTGGTGTCAAGTATACATGGTCGGTGATAATGCGACGGATCTCATTGGTTCTTGCATGAGTATTTGCGCAGAGATAATAGAGAGACCATGGAGGGCGTAAACGTGGCATGACGAAGAATCGTGGAGGGTTTGGGCATTGCGCCATCCGGTCATCAAGAAGAGGTCAAGCACGCCTTTACTTTTAAAATTGGCGGCCACAATGCAACGATTCCACAATTAGATGAAGATCTATCCAGTATCTGTTGGAACTAAGAATCACAATCACAACACTATAGATTGAATTGGCTAGCCTAAGAACAAGAACGTGCAAGAACAACGATGAACCTTAACAAAGAATCGGAGAGACAAAGGTCTTTGTTTCCACTTATATGTGTGAGCAGTACAAACACAATAGGTTCAGTTACAATGCGCTATTGCGCTCTCCAAACACCCAAACTATTTATACCAATAGCTAAACCACACCGTGGCCTTTACAGAAAATAAGAAAACAAGATACAAGAGCTTGTCGATGTAATCGCCTCGCTCTGGAACACGTCGTGGGCGCGGTCACCGTCGCCTCGCCGCCGCAATCGCTCCCGCTCTTCCTTGTTTAAATTCAAACTTGCTGCTCCCGCCACCACAGACTTTTTGCAACAACTCCACACACGTCATCACAGCAGCAAGCTTACATCAACATTCTCCCCTTAAGCTTGATGCTCCTCAAGGTCACGGACACCGAGAAGGTGCCTCATCTCCACCAGTTTCACCTTGGCATAGCCTTGGTCGAGAATCAGCCTTTTCGCTCCAAAGTGCTAACTCTCTTCACAACAATCTCTCCTCGCTCAACACATTCTACGATATAGTGATACTTGATATCAATGTGTTTGCTTCTCCCATGAAACATTGGATTTTTCATCAAATGAATAGCTGAATTATTGTCCACAAACAAAGTCACTTTCTTTGGCTTGGTTCTTGTGAGCTCACTCAATGATTTTCGAGCCACATTGCCTACATTGCAGCTGCTATTGCAGCCATAAACTCAGCCTCACAAGATGACAATGCCACTGTCTTCTCTTTGTGTGAACACCAAGTGATCAAACTCTCATTCAGATAGAATGCCATCCCTCCAAAGGTGCTCCTCCCGTGATCCAAATCACCTGCTAGATCATTGTCTGAATAGCCCACCAGTGCTTTCTTCTTTCTCTTCTCTGGTATAGACAATCCCATAATCAGTAGTACCCTTTAGGTACCGAGAATTTGCTTCACTTGCATTTGAATGCATAATAGTAGGTTTCTCCATGAACCTACTAGCCATACCAACTAAGAATGCCAGATCGGCCTAGTGTGTAGCAGATACCGAGGCACCCAATGACTCTTCTATACCCTGTTGCATCAATGGTTACTCCACCCTTGTCATCATGCAACTTTGTTCCTGGATTCATTGGTACTTTGGTTGGATTACAATCACTCATCCCAAACTGTGAGAGCACCTTCTTGGCATAACTTGACTGTTTGATAGTAATGCAGTCCTGTTGATCCAACTCAATTCCCAAATAGAATGACAATAGACCCAAGTCACTCATTTCAAATTCTGAGGTCTTCTATCTCTTGAACACTGCAATCTCTCCTAGATCCCCTGCAGTCACTATCAAATCATCAACATATACACCAAGAATTACCCTTGCTTTTCCAACTCCTCTGGTATATACTGCTGGCTCAGTTGCACACTTTCTGAACCCTAGTTTCTTCAGACTACTATCTAGCTTTACATTCTAGGCTCTAGGAGCTTGTTTGAGCCCATACAATGCCATGCTCAGCTTAAACACCATCTGCTCCTTGCCTTTCACCACATAGCCTTCTGGCCGTGACACATAAACATCCTCCACAAGCTCTCCATTTAGAAATGCAATCTTGACATCTAAGTGATGCACTTCTTAGCCCCAGTTTGCTGCCATTGCTAGTATCAATCTCACTGTATCCAGTCTTGCCATAGGAGCAAAAACTTCTTCATAATCAATGCCTTGTTTTTGTACATAGCCTTTAGCAACTAGTCTAGCTTTGTGCTTCACTATATCTCCTTTTGCATTCCTTTTTAGCTTGTACACCCATTTCAATCCAATGGGTTTGTGGCCAGCTAGTAACTTGACTAACTCCCAAGTCTTGTTTTTTATGATAGACTAAATCTCACTGTCCATAACTGCCATCCAGTTATCATTTCTAGCTGCCTCTTGATAGCATGTTGGCTGTTCCATCACTGCTAACAAAGCATTTGTCTCAACTTCTATGTCTGAAGCTAAATCCACTTCCACAGAGTCTTGATACACATCATTTAGCCTCCTGAACCTCATTGGTCCATCATCATGATCAACATCCATGTTGTCATCCACATCCCCTTGATCTAAGCCTGCTCCATGATTCACAGAATTTTTTGCATCTGTTGCCAGACTATGAACTGTGTCAGACAATGCTCTAGTCCCATGCTGAACTGAATTCTCTACATCACCTGTATCTTGCACTCCTCTAGATGCTCCCCCTGAATCATCATGTATATGGTCATCCTGGTTATTTCCACCAGCTACACCACCATCCCACTGCTGAGCTGTTACTCCCACAGTCTCATCAATCACAAACTCTGAATTTTCACCAAATTCAGCATTCCACTTCTAGGCTTCTCCTTCAAACACCACATCTCTGCTTACCACTATTTTCTTGGATTGTGGGTCATAGAGCTTGTGTGCCTTGCTTCCATCCTCCACACCAAAGTACACCATAGGTACACTCCTGTCATCCAACTTTTTCAAATAAGGTCTAGCTGGTCTGACATGTGCCTTACACCCAAACACCCTCAAATGCCCCAACTGTGGTTTTCTTCCATTCCATGCTTCAAATGGAGTTCTACGGCCCATTGGCTTAGTTGGAAGCCTGTTCAACAAATGAATTGAGTGTCTCACTGCCTCTCCCCAGAACATACCTGGTACATTCATGCTTTTCATCAATGACCTTGCCATCTCCATGACAGTCCTGTTCCTCCTTTCAACAACCCCATTTTGCTGTGGTGAGTAAGGTGCTGTCAATTGTCTCCTAATACCTGCTTGCTCATAGATATCCTTGAAAGCAACTACCAAGAATTCACCTCCTCTATCTGATCTCACACACTTCACCTTGTGACCCAAGCTATTTTCTGCTTCTGCCTTGAACTTAGCAAATGCATCACTAGCTTGGTCCTTTGTTTTCAGGACTAAAACTGTCATCCACCTGGTGCAATCATCAACTATGAGCATAAAGTACTTACTGCCTCCTGCAGTCTCTGGAGTAATAGGCCCACACAAATCAATGTGTAACAATTCAAGTGGTTCATCTGCTCTCCACCTGGAAACCTGTGGAAAGGAACACCTTGTCTGCTTTGCTGCTAAACAGGACTGACAGACCTGATCAGGGTGTTCTATCAGAGGTATCCCCCTGCCATCTCCTTCTCCACTAACATCTTTAGTGACTGAAAATTTACATGACCAAGTCTACCATGCCAAAGCTATGACACATCCCCAACATTGGCCAACAAGCACACTGGCTCAACTAATTTCAATTCAATTTTATATAATCTATTAACAGTTCTTTGCACCCTCATTATCATTCTTTCAAGACTCTTTTCACATACTTCAATCAAATCATCATCCATGACTACTCTATGTCCAATCTCAGTTAGTTGTCCAAGGCTCACTAGATTACTTCTAAGCATGGGAATGAAATAAACATCATAGAGTACCCACTGATTACTAGAAATAACCTGAAACGGTATGGAGCCCCTACCCTGAATTTCAACAATTGAGCCATCACCGAAAGTCACCTTACCAGAAATAGTAGTATCCATGTCTCTGAAATTTTTGTTGATCCCCTGTCATGTGGTTGCTTGCTCCATTGTCCAGGTACCAAACATCACCAGATGGCACCCCATCGTTGGTGTAGTGTAGCTCAGGATACACCTTCACCTCATTCCGAAACAACTCCCCCCTAACAGCCGTCCGACAACAGGCTATCTGAAGATGGGTGCTCAAGCATCCCCAGCAAATCCGTTTCTGAGAGCAACACCGTGGACTCATACTCCACCACGCTGGCATGATGAGCTTCCTCCTTCTTCTCCTCTCCCGGACACCTATTTGCATAGTGTCCGTATTTGTGGCACTTGAAAAACTTGATGTGACACTTGTCACGTTTGCCAGCACCATCCTTTGCCATGTCGCCTTGTCCACCGCGACCACCACTGCTGCCACCGTGACCTCGCCCATGACCACGACTACCACCGCCGCTCTCCTGCGATCGGCTCTTCCCGGACGCTTCCCTAGCTGCCCGCTTCTGCCGAGCCTCCCACTCGGCCTGCGTCAACAACACTTGACCGGTGTCAGACTTCACCGCGGCACCCGCTCCCCGCCTGGTGCGCTCTTCATACGCCTTCAGCTGGCCAACCGCCTCCTCGAATGCCAGATTCTTGAGGTCATAGAACTGCTCGATCCCGGACACACATTGATGAACCGCTCCAGCACTGTGTTGAACATCTTCTTCACGAGTGCTGCATCATCGAGCGATCCACCAAGGTTGCCATACCGGACTGACATCCCCGTCAACCGCCCGGCGTACTGAACGGGTCGACTCCATCCTCATGGCATCGAATTCACTCTTCAGTGAAAGCAACCACGCCTCCCTGACACACTCCTCGTCGACGAATCTTGCCTTCAACGAGTCCCAGACCTCCTTCCCGGTCTTATTCGCCGCGACTGGCATCAAGAGATCATCAGGCAAGCACTGAAGCAAGTGCGCCCGAGCCTTCTTGTCCTTCGCCTTCACCGCCGCTGCCGCCGTCGCACCCTGCTCTAACGACTCCCCCGACGGCTCCATGATCTCCCACACCCCCTGGTCCTCCATGATCGCCTGGATGCGAATGCTCCAACTAGTGTAGTTGGTCGCGGTGAGTGACGGATATGTGATCCAGTCACCGCCGCCGCCTGCGCCACCACTCCGGTCACCCATGGCGTGGATCAGGTGATGATCACCGCGTGATTAAGGCTCTGATACCAAATGTTGGAACCAGAAATCACAATCACAACGCTATAGATCGAATTGGCTAGCCTAAGAACAAGAACGTGCAAGAACACTGATGAACGCGAACAGCAACAGTCAGAGGATAGTGTTGTTTTCCACTGATATCTGTGAGCAGTACAAACACAATAGGTTCAGTTACAATGCGCTAATGCGCTCTCCAAACACCCAACTATTTATACCAATAGCTAAACCACACTGTGACGCACACAGAAAATAAGAAAACAAGATACAAGAGCTTGTCGATGTAACTGCCTCGCTCTGGATCGCGACGTGGGCGTGGTCACCAGTCTGCTCGCCGCAACTACTCCCGCTCTTCCTTGTTTAAATTCAAACTTGCTGCTCCTGCCACCACAGCTTCTGCAGCAACTCCACACATGTCATCACAGCAGCAAGCTTACATCAACAGTATCAAGGTTATCTTTTCGGAATAATATGACTTCGTTATGCGTGATCTTTATGCAAGTTGGGTGAATACAAGCAATGTTGACGATATGGAACTTGGCATTGCAGAATAAGGATACCTATGCATGTAATAGTGACAGCATCTGCAAGGATCTACCAGTATCTCGAGGAGGCTACAATTGCTTCTGCCCTGGTCAAACGGATGGCAACCCCTATGTTGCAGATGGCTGCATCCAAGGTTGCTCTCTCCTTTTTTGCATGACGTAGTCTTTTTATGTTGCTCGAGACATTTTCCAGATTTCAATATTGCATTGTCAGTTCATATTATTACCAATATGAAAGCACCCACGAATCACAAATTTTGTCATACATGCATGTGGATTGATGTGTTATTTATTCAACAAGATGAAAAATAATGTTTTGATCCCTACGCTTGCAATAATATCTACTTATGGTGACACAAGTAATATCTACTTATGGTTGTGATATATGTTTGTAAAGTAATTCAAATTAACTAGAGACATAATATAATGTTCCTTCATTTCTGACCTTATAATACACATACAAGATCGATCAATCGATCAGTAGGACAACTACTGACTCATGAAATATATTTATTTGTGACATTGATCCTTTATTATTACAAGCTAGGGAAGAATATTTCTTCACAGCAATGCATTTTTATTAACATTGAAGTGTATTTGAGATTCTAGAGAAAACACTAGCTATCTAGCTAGTGTTACTGTCATACTGAGCAAATAAGATAGAAACGAAGTTTCAAATACCTTAATCATTTGGTGATAAATAATATTTTTAAAATTGCCTGTACATGCTTCATTTGTATATTGCTTTATAGAACCATCAACACATGTATTCCAGTTAGCTAGGCGTGAAAAACATAAGTTCACTTTTTGGTGGCCATGTTGTTTAGCTAGATCTATCTTTGGTTGATATTTTCTTCAACACAATTTAGTTAGTTTGTACGCATCGCAACAAACAAGTTTTCTTGCCCTCCTGCTGCATTGCAAACTATATCTTTTTCTGGCTTTTTTTTTGAAAAAAAGATTGCATTGGGACTTCTTTTTTATTAACTGGGAAAGAAAACAAAAAAAGGTGGGTGGAAAATTTCAATCAAAAAAAAAAACGAGGAAACATTGCCATGTAGTCTAGCATGCAAGCTGAGAAAAAGCAGTGAAGAATAATCGGAGCTAGTGAAGTGTGAAGAAGGATGATGGAGAATATGGAGGATGGGCCGTTGCTCTCTGCCCCAAGTGCAGCTGAAAGGCCAAAAAGCTCTACGAGGACGGAAGAAAAAGCATGAGGAGGGAAAAGGATTCACCTGAAGCCACACAAGAGGAAAACAAAAGAAGATGCAAAGCAAGGCACACAAAAGCACTGCTCTCCAGCCACACCACGCAAAGGATAAGAGAAAGCAGACGATGCGTTCAGAATCTGATGACATGCATGCAGCTAGCTTGCTTTAATTTTGCCGGCCCGGCCCCCTCGTATATATGTCTTAATTGTTATTAGCCTCGCGCATGCATGCAACTAATTAATACAACGTACTTGTTCATCGCTCGTCTGAAGATGCATGTAATTAACATGTTGTTTTAATTTGTTCCTTGTCTATTCTAATCATATACGTATATCTCTTGTGTACGTTGACCTCTAATTAATATAATAGCCCTCTGATCCTAGCTACTACTACTTGTGTTGTGTGCTACATACATACTGTCTCAAGCTTGCATCGCTAGCTTTAATGGAAGACGCACTTTGAACGGATCGATCCACCAAGCGATCGAAAGAGATGCTATATATGGTAGACACGCATGGTAGGGTACTCCGAATATATATCAGGACTGCGGTTGGCTATTTAGGTTTACATGCATCTTTCTTTCTGGCCATAAAGCTAGCTAGTATACATATGCATGGGAGAAGGTGGAATACAATTTGACCTGATGGGTTTAATACTGATTTTGTTAAAAAGTGCTGGCCAATCATCTGTCATGATTTTTATAATCTCTGCAGTGCTTTTTATGCTGGTAATATCTATTTGCAAAGTATTAATGGCTTCCATATCACTTTGGTTCCAAGACATGAGAATGCAGTCAAAGTTTCAGATTATAGGCCCATATCTTTGCTGAACACTTCTGTTAAAATCTTGACAAAGCTTTTAGCTAACACTTCAGATGGTCCTACTATCCATCATTCATCAAAATCAATATGACTTCATTAAAGCAAGAGCTATCCAGGATTGTTTGGCATGGTCATTGGAATATGCTCACCTTTGTCATCAATCTAGAAAAGAAATTATCATCCTCAAATTGGACTTTGAGAAGACTTTTGATAAGGTCGAACATCAGTTGATGTTTGAGATTATGCAAAACAAAGGTTTTCCCCCAAAATGGATTCAGTGGATGAATATGATTTTCAGTTTTGGAACCTCTTCTGTTCTTTTGAATGGTGTGCTAGTAGTGGCGGAGGACAGAAAAAATTTAAGGCGTGGCGAAATCGATAACATAGATTTCAAAGATTTCTCAATATATTGGTTTATACACATAATATATCATGATCGTCATCTACTATAAGTAAAAATATTTCGAATAAATAGAAAGATACAAGTAAAGTCAATACACTAACCAAGTGTCGATGAACATCAATTGCGTCTAGGCAATATAGGCAATTGCACTTGCCTATCTTTCTTTTTCTGAAATGATTTCTTAATAATCAAGCATCCCAAGTAATAAAAAATTATACAAATACGGAACTCTGAAACTCACCGACGCTAACTTTTAGAGTCTGCCCTAAGGAAACGCAGTAGCAGTGTAGCTCGTCGACGACGACAGGCCTGGACTCACGGAGGCAGAGTTGCTCGCGCACCATAGTCGCGCGCTCGCGATGATCACCTTCGCCTGATCCTGATCTGATTGAGCGGCGGCACAGCCCACAGGGACACGAACTGTCGAGGCGTCGGGCATACTGCGGACGAGCGGTATTGGATTCATCGTATACTGAACGAGAAAGGAAACTCTCGGTGACTCTGAAGGCTCCAGCAGCCAGCAGGCCAAGGATAAGGTCAGCCTATGAACCAAAAGGCACATATACGTGATCTCCCAAAAGCCACAATAGGCCAATAGCCCAAGACTCCAAGAGAACGTCCTAATAGTCAAGTAGCTACTGTTTTTCTACCTCAGGCTGCCGGCTGAGACATCTTCCTTAATATATCCATTGGTACAGAGTATTTGGGGGTAAAAATTTCTGGAAAATCAAGGTATGGCGAGCGCCATACCTTGCCATAGAAGAGCTCCACCCCTGTGTGCCAGGGAAAGTTTTACATTGTAGAAGAGGAGTTAGGCAAGGAGATCCCCTCTCCCCTTTACTATTTGTTCTAGCAGCTGACTTTCTACAAACTCTTCTTAATACAACCAAGAATCAGGGATTGCTGACTCTTCCAGTGAACCTGAATCACAACCAAGATTTTCCAATTTTGCAGTACGCAGATGACACACTCATTTTCATGGAAGCTCATGCAAGACAGCTCTTTTTCCTCAAAGCTCTGCTAAACTCTTTTGCTGATAGCACAGGTCTGAAAGTTTACTATAATAAGTCTTTCATGGTTCCAATAAATGTTGATGAGGACAGATTTCATATTCTAGCTTCTACATTTGGTTGCACTAAGGGTTCTCTCCCTTTTACCTATCTTGGGCTGCCAGTGTGTTTAACCAAACCAACTGTGGCTGACTTCTGGCCTCTTGTTTCAAGATGTGAGAGGCGTCTGAGTAGCATTTCTTCTTTCTTGAGTCAGGCAGGAAGTTGGAGTTAACTAATGCAGTGTTTACAGCTTTTCCTACCTTTACAATGTGTACTTTCCTGTTGCCAAAAATAGTGAAAACAAATTGATAAATTTAGGAAACATTGCTTATGGAGAGGATGTGATATCAATAATAAGACCTCGACTTTTTCAAAACAGGTCCAAGTCAAATAACAATGATTCAAAGCAGTTCATTTTGGTCATGGTATTAAGAAATGGGACCATGAGATTGGATCTAGCCATAAGAGGAATGCTTGGAGGTGTTACAGACTTCTAGAACAGAGCACTGAATACCAAGTAAAGGTGGATAACACTCCACCAAAGGCTGCTTGGAAGAAGCTAGTTTGTATTCCAAAGGACAGTGGAGGTCCAGGGGTCCTTAATCTTTCAACTCAGAATAAGAGTTTGCTCCTCAAGCATCTACACAAATTTTTTAACAGATTGGATATTCCTTGGGTTCATTTGATTTGGGAGAAATATTATTCAACTGGCAGACTTCCAGGATCCTCTAGACAAGGCTCTTTGTGGTGGAGGGATATTATAAAACTATTAAGCTCATACAAAGGAATGTCAAGGGTTTTCATAAGGAATGGGTTGTTGGAATATGATCGGTTCGGCTAACACCGAGTTTAATTACGAGCTTAATTAAGAGATAAGTTTTTTGTCCACCCACCTGTCATTTATTTCCAACTAAATAAGAAACTGCAGTGAACAG